TGTATACAGTGAATACATTTTAAAAGTAGAAAACCATAAAGATTTAAAACATTATACATGAACTAAAGAATTCATTTTATTGTTTATAATAAATAAATACTTATTTATAGCTATTGTTATCACAAAGTAATGATAATAATATTAAATAATAGTAAAAAATATTATTATTATATATAATCAATATAAATATTACCTACCGCATTTAATAACTAGCCTGACCTATAATTATAAGAGAAAAAGTGCACAAAAATTTGTTTTTACCGAGAATATTCTACAATTAATCCGTGAAAAGTTCGAAAATGGCCAAAGTAAAAAAAAAATGGACAACATACCTAATAAAGTGCCTAAAGTTCTAGAGGCAAAAAACTAATTGATAAAGCCGCCATGGCGCCAGTGGTACGTATGTGCCTTAAGCTATTATTTTTAAGGGGAAAAGAATAAATAAATATTTATTTAAACTCTGCGACAAATATCAGATTCTGGTTATATAAATTCAGATCTGTTACTGGAATGGATGAAGCATTTTAAGCAGCACACTAATCCATCCATATTAAATCCAGTATTGCTCATCTTTGATAATCACGTTTCCCATAGAACTTTAGCAGTAATTACTTATTGCAGGCAAAATTATATCCACCTCTTGACCATACAATCTCATTCAACTCACAAAATCCAGCCACTTGATAAAGGATACTTTGGCTCGCGGAAAACTGCTTACAGCCACGTTTGTGATGAGTAACCCGGGAAAGGTCTTCACCCAAAAAATGTTGAAGAGACGGTCAATGCTTTTAAATCGACCGGCGTTTGGCCTTTTAATTCAGGAATTTTCCATGATGATGACTGCCCCAAAATGGAAAACTGAACTGTTACGAACAAGAAAAATTGTTGTCATTTATAAAGGGCAACAAGAAATAAATCCAAAACGAAATTAAAAAGGTTTCATCAAAGCAAGTAACTCTGAAAGATATTTCAAATTTTGAGCAAACAACGAAGAACAGTTCTGAAGCATGCATATCATGCATGGTTGTATACATATTATCTGTACTAAGTATAGCATTAATTGTACTGTGCTAGAATAATTTAAAAACAGCTTATTAATAATATTTTGTGTGCACATTTGACTTTAAATACCTGTAATTTCCACTAAGCAAATATAATATTTACTGTGCCAATATGTATTACATTACCTAGCCAGGGCCGGGCCTAAGGGGGGTGTAGGGGGGGAGTCACCCCCCCAAAGTCTTGGCAGTTGGTTCCAAATCCAAACAGGGTTGGCAAAATCTATAGTATTTGGGTCGGTTGGTTGAGTATACGGGTTCGTTGATAGGGTAGGTATACCGTATATCTACCCTACCAACCAACCCATCACAATAAATAAAATGAAATATAATTTTTAAACTTTACCTACATATTACAAAATTATAATTTTTAATCTATTGTAACCTCCTATAATCGTTACCGTCAAGAAAATTGTATTGGTCAACCTTATTTTTATTAAAGGACATTATATTTCACACAAGCGGCATGTACAAAGTCGGCACCGCCTCAAAAAAATAGAGAACGGGAATCAATCCCATCGACTTCGAAAGAGCATGCTAATGGTAGGTATACCTTTATGTCTTTATAAAGATATACCTTTATGTCTTTATAAAGACATTCTTTTTCTACACTTTACAACACTTTACATTCATGATAAAACTACTGAAAATTTTTACTATTACTACTAAAGTATCGATAAAAAAATAAGTTGGTTTTTTATCGTCTCCACCCCCCCAAAAAAGTGTGCCTCGGTACGGCCCTGTACCTAGAAGTTTATTCGTTCCCTATTTTAAATAAGGGAAACAAATGTATTAGTCAAAAATAACTAATTATAATTCATATTTGACTAATTTTCATAGTGAAAAAGCAGTCACTAATAATTAGTCAAATTCTACTGAATGAAATAGTCAAATTAGTAGATTTTTGCATCTTTGTTTGTTTTTACGGGCCATTTATGCATTTATGGGCCTACATGCATTTAACTCAAACAATAATTTGTTGTTGGCCGCAAACGATTAAAGAAATTAGTTACAAAAGTAAAAAGTAAAGTAAAGTTAAAAACCTCTCAGAAATAGTAAAAATGATGACTAATCTTAAATTAGTCCAGCTTTAACTATTTAAGTAGTTAAAAATAACTATTTAAAAGTGAAAACGACTATTTTATTAGCTAATAAATAATAAAATGCTGGTACTAATTCAAATTAAGAAGAATTAAGAAAGTTTGTTTATTAGTTTAAATAAAACTTTAATTGTATATTTAAAAAAAAACGGCAAATAATATAAAAAAAATTGTAAAACATTTTTTTAGAAAATTAAATAATTTTAATTCTTATTTAAACATTTTGACAATATAAAAATGAAATCGAAAATGGATAAAATTAAAAATTTAAAATAAACTGTTGGATTTTTTTTATTTTGCTTTTAAATTCTTAGTTCCATCATACATAAATAGAATCTCACAAAAAAAGTTTCACAAATAGGCTAAAAATCACTTTCTAGAACAGTACCCTCATATTCAAATTTGCATTAAAAATATTTTGTTAATTATTTTTTACATTGTCTTTATATCTAAATTATCAATCTTTGCTTGATTTAGATGTTTGAATGTATTTTTTATTAATTAATTAATCTATAATATATTATGTTATCGGAAAAATATAAAATCATAAAGTGAGGAGGTGCATTCCAAAACTCGGCTTATCCATATTAGTTGTTTTCGAGCAAAATGCCAAAAACCTTACACGTGAGTACTAACGCATAATATGCCTGATATTATCAGGCAAACACAATACTTTAAACGAAATATAAAGGCTTAGGTAAAACATTTATAAACATTGATTAAAAAGGTATAGTTCCAGTTTAAAATAATTTAAAATTACATATATATGCCGAGTTCTGCATGATATAACCAATAGATAAGGCAAGTTTTGGAACGATAGTCAATTTGTAAATGAATTTTAAATGGAATATGGTTAGTTTTAGAATATTATGAACTTTTCAGGGTATAGGGGGATACATGTTAAATGTACAGACACCAGAAACTCATTTTTATTAAAAAGTGGATAAGCCGAGTTTTGGAATGGACCTCCTCAAGTATCATAGTCTGTCCATTTAAGCAAATTACCTAAGCATTTCGCGGATTAACCAATTTCGACTTTGCCGGCGACATATATATGAGGCAAAATTTGCCAAGTGTACCAGGTGAAAAAAAATTTGTCACCGATTTTGTTTAAACTTTACTTATTTTTTGTTCTTATAACGAAGAATCATAGCATAAAATTTTTTTGCTCTAGGATTGTTCATTCAAGAGTTATGGATTATTGAAATTTATCGATTTATTACTTTTTGGTGAAATCGCTTTTTATTTAAAAATTCATAACTTCTGTTCATCTCTTTATTAAATATTTCAATTTAAGCACCTTAAATGATTTTTTCCGTACTTTTCAATGGGCTATACCGTTTTTGCAAAAAAATAAAAATTGCAATTTTTTTTTGAAATTTTGCAAAATTTTGCATATTTTGAAACAATGTGTATTTTTTATTTTTTTTTAAAATAGCATAAAATCCAAGTTTATTATGTTACCTTTGAATAAAAAAAAATTTAGAGTGGGCCCGACATGTAGAAGGGAAGTTTTTCATATTTGAATGCCGCACGGTCTAGCCATCGAATAGCTACTACACTGCCGTATGCGTTTATACCTAGTAGATGCGAGAAAACGAATACAAAATGATAATTTAAAATGTAAAATTATGTTTGAGTAGTCAATGATGTATTTTAAATATTTACACTGCCGCAAGATATAGTTTTTTTATTGTATATTAGTCCTTCGGAGGAGACTTTAAGCCCACGGTCCGTTCCTACCCCTAACCCGCACAAGCCATTCAGTTGGCTTATGGGACTTCTTACGAAGTAAGGGTGGAACTAAAAGAGCACTTTTGTATATAAACTGTATTTTTTTGCACAAATTGTTTAAGCATGGGTCTACATAGATTTCGCAAGGAGGGTCGATGATAAAAAATGTATTGTTATAACCGTAAAGGCGCCATTCAGCTTATAGGCAAGCCGTTACGGTTATAACAATAATTTTTTTATTTAATATCATCGATCCTCCTTGCGAAATCTATGTAGACCCATGCTTAAACAATTTGTGCAAAAAAATACAGTTAAAAAACTATATCGTGCGGCAGAGCAAATATTTAAAATACATCATTGACTACTCAAACATAATTTTACATTTTAAATTATCATTTTGTATTCGTTTACTCGCATCTACTAAGGTATAAACGCATACGGCAGTGTAGTAGCTATTCTATGGCTAGACCGTGCGGCATTCAAATATGAAAAACTTCCCTTCTACATGTCGGGCCCACTCTAATTTTTTTTTTATTCAAAGGTAACATAATAAACTTGGATTTTATGCTATTTTAAAAAAAATTAAAAAATACACATTGTTTTAAAAAATGCAAAATTTTGCAAAATTTCAAAAAAAAATTGCAATTTTTATTTTTTTGCAAAAACGGTATAGCCCATTGCAAAGTACGGAAAAAAATCATTTAAGGAGGTTAAATTTAAATATTTAATAAAGAGATGAACAGAAGTTATGAATTTTTAAATAAAAAGCGATTTCACCAAAAAGTAATAAATCGATAAATTTCAATAATCAATAACTCTTGAATGAACTATCCTAGAGCAAAAAAAAATTATGCTATGATTCTTCCTTATAAGAACAACAAATAAGTAAAGTTTAAACAAAATCGGTGACAAAAATTTTTTCACCTGGTACACTTGGTAAATTTTGCCCCATATTTAGTTGGTTCTAAATATTTTAAATATATAATATCCAAATTATTGTTTGTTTACACTTTAAATAGTTTACATATTAAGCATAAACAGTTTAGCAAAAATATTTTTATTTTTATCTATTATTATATTTATATGGATAACGTTTTTATTAACAAAACTAGAATATATATAATAAATTAAAGGATCATTCACACTCTTCTATTGGACAATGTGTTTTAAATAATTTTCTCATGTAAGCCACTGATGATTTAGGGGTTCTAGTCCGATTTGGACTTGTGAAGTCCACGTGGTAGAGTCCAAATTTAAGACTAAAATAAAAAATAAAATAGTATGTAGACACAAGCTTTTCCCAACTAAAATCTGTTTTTGTTCTTTTTTAGCAATGTCAAGGTCTGTATTTTTAAAATAAAATGTCTATAAAATTAAAATACTTACTTATATCCACTAACCCATTCAAAATTATCCATTAAGCTCCACGCTGTATATCCTGAAACCTTTACATCATCTTTATGCATCGAGTCTAAAACTGCCTTTAGTTGCTCCTAAAAAATATTGTATACAATATAATATGCTACTTTTTTATAAAGTTATTATACCCTATAAAATTTAATTCTTAATTGATCGTCTAAAGAAGTGCCATTATCTGCCATTCCATTTTCAGTAAAAAAAATCTCAGGACTATCATAAGTTTCCTTTATCCATTTTAACATTTGTCTTGTACCCCATGGTACAATCTAAATATATATAAATAATTATCATTGTATATATATATATATATATATTTATATACAGGGTGTTTCATAATATATGCGCAGGACTTCAGGATGTGATAGCTCATCCAAAAAGATGAAAAAAGTCGCTATTAACTTACCCTCTAAAATGCACAATTTTCGAGATACAGGGTGTTGAAATTTTAGAAAAAAAATCGTTTTTTTCGATTATCTCCGGAACCGTTTATCGTACAAAAAACAGCTTTTGTAAGCATTTTCTACTCAAAATAAGCTATGTTTTGTGCCAGAAAAAATTTTTTTTTACTTATAATTGGTGGAGATTTTGAATGGGTAGCGGGTGTTTTTCTCCTCAACTTCTACGCCCCTAAAAAATGTACGGTTTTGAGAGGCCTATTCGAACCGCCAATGTTTTCTACACAAAAAAGGTACTCTTGGTCATAAGCTCTAAATTTGACCGTTTTCGAGAAAAATCAATTTAAAAAAAAAAATTTTTTTTTACTAATTAAACAAAATTTATTTTAACGTTAGAACAAGTAACAAAACCAAACCATAATTGCAAAATAAAAAATGATTCAAAACTTCTTCTCCAAACCGTAAAGGTAACGCATTTCGAAAATTTCAGCATTTGTGTAAAAAATCATTTTTTATTTTTTTTTAATTTTGAAATTATCGTTTGGTTTTGTTACTTTTTCTGAAGTTAAAATAAATTTTGTTTAATTAGTAATAAAACATTTTTTTCAAAAAATTTAACATGTTTTTAAATATAAAAGTTGATTTTTCTCGAAAACGGTCAACTTTAGAGCTTATGACCAAGAGTATCTTTTTTGTGTAGAAAACATTGGCGGTTCGAATAGGCCTCTCAAAACCGTACATTATTCAGGGGCGTAGAAGTTGCGGAGAAAAACACCCGCTACCCCTTCAAAATCTCCACCAATTATGAGTAAAAAAAATTTTTTTCTGGCACAAAACATAGCTTATTTTGAGTAGAAAATGCTTACAAAAGCTGTTTTTTGTACGATAAACTGTTCCGGAGATAATCGAAAAAAACGATTTTTTTTCTAAAATTTCAACACCCTGTATCTCGAAAGTTGTGCATTTTAGAGGGTAAGTTAATAGCGACTTTTTTCATCTTTTTGGATGAGCTATCACATCCTGAAGTCCTGCGCATATATTATGAAACACCCTGTATATTGTACAATTGTTTATATTGTGTATATTGTATATATTTATATATATATATATATATTAGGGTGTCCCTTATTTTTATTTTTTTTACGCATAACCTCTGATTATATTTATTACGTGTTTATATACTCCCAGTAAAAATTTCAGCTCATTCTATAAACGGGAACCCGTGCCGACTTGCATCTGATTCAGATATTTTGTAACACGGTTGGTCGCGAGGTCTTCGATCGTAAGTCATTTTGTGTTTGTTATTATGTGACCCTTATATTATAAATTATTGACAAATGTTAAAATATAATTTTATTTATGTGTATACTTTGATAAAAATGTATATTTTCACAGGAAGTGGCTAGTTACCTGGAAGGGTCTGGTGAATAGGCCGTAAACTCTGAAATTAATAAACTTAATGGGTTTTACTCTAAATAACTAAAAGAGTTTATTGTGAGTGATGACTACCGAAAACTTATTGAACTGTCTGAAATATTTTTGGGAGGACATCAAGAAAAGAAATGCTTATAAAAAGCTGAAATTTCATATAACAGTATATTTTAGCAATACTAATTAGTATATTAATATATTTAAGGGATAAAATCAACTAAATTAGTGAAACAAATGATAAAAACAAAAGCAATAATATTAATTAGTAATTATATGTAATAAAATCATTAGAAAAATACAGTCATAAAGTATATCTTCTTTTTAAAGTGTTTCGTGTTACAAAATACCGCGCGCGCCTAACGTTGGCTAACGGAGGGTTTAGAGTCGGCAAGGGTTCCCGTTTATAGAATGAGCAGAAATTTTTACTGGGAGTATATAAACAAGTAATAAATATAATTAGAGGGTATGCGTAAAAAAAAAAATAAGGGACACCCTTAATATATATATATATATATATATATATTGTGTGTACCTTAAATTGTGGTTGAGCGGTTGCCTCCCACGCAGGATCATGTGATATTTGAAAACCAATATCATTTTCAAACCCGACCATTTTGTAATCATAAAATTCTTCAGAATTAGTAAGAAAACTTGTATAAGTGTTTAAACCCAAAAAATCCGTGGTACCCTTAATATAGTCAATTTCTTTTTCTGTAAATTTAGGTAGTCTAGATTTCGGAAAGCCTTGTTTGGCACTTCTTTCAGCTACTAAATCTATCATTACTTTGGGGTAGTTACCAAGGTAAATAGGGTTTGCAAACCATCCAAACTAAAATAATGTTAAAAATGTATTATTAAAATGTGTAATAAAGTTACCATAAAATGTCTAGCAGTTTCAGTAACATTTATATCAGCAGTTGAATTAGTTTTAGGTATAAGCCATTGAAACTCCAATACAATGAAAATCTTTCCTTTTTGATCCTTTCTGAACTCATCGTCGTAAATATGGTAAGCTCTAGCATGAGCTTTTAGTAAAGTATGACCACATAGGTAATCTCCTATACCAGTGTTATTGTAAGCTGGTGCCATGACATTTATGCCATACCCCATTAAACAAACCAATCTGGGCTCATTTATGGTTGTCCATAATTTAACTTTATCGCCAAATAATTTAAAGCATAATCTGGCATATTCAGCAAAATATTCCTCCATAATTGGGTTGGTCCAACCACCCAATTCTTGAAGAGTTTGGGGAAGATCCCAATGGTATAAAGTTACCTAAAAAAGTTGGTTTTTATTGCCATCCCAAATAAAAAAATGTTTTGTTGTTTGAAAACTGCTTACCATTGGTTCTATGTTGTTTTTTAATAGTTCATCAATTAAGTTATTGTAATATTTCACTCCATCCCAATTAATAGTATTTATAAAACCAGACGGCAGAATTCTTGTCCAGGCTATTGAGAATCTGTAAAAATCTACGCCCAATTCCTTGAGCATTCTTACATCTTCTTTGTATTTGTAATAAGAATCACAAGCTATGTCACCATTCCTTCCATCTTCTATGTGCCATGGTCTCGTGTGGGTTAAATGATCCCATATACTTGGAGATTTGCCGTCTTTATCCCACGCACCCTCGATTTGGTAAGATGATGTCGCTACACCAAATTTAAAGTTATCTGGGAATTTTTTTGTGGCCTCAGAAAAAATATAGCCACTAAAAATATTGCGTTTTTTACGTAAGAAGTCAAAACATTAAATTTTTTGTATCAGGAAACTTTAGTAGTCGATAGAACTCTCAAAAATAAAAAGAAAATTTTATATAAACTTGTATGTTTAAAAGTTTAGTTTCGAGATACAAGGTGGTAATAGTATATTATGTATCAAGTTTGATAAACGCCATTTTATACACGAATTTAATTTAGACATAAGCGAGCTTGCGAGCGAGTGCTTAAATTAATGAGTGTATAGAAAAGTTTATAAATGAGGTGCATACCATACTTTTTCTACGTCAAATACTTATTATTATCTTAAAATGATTTAAATCAAAAATTTGTATAGAGCGCCATCTATGAAACAATAGGGGAATCTGTGTGTCACCGTCAAATGTCAAATTTTTGTATTTTATAAACACAGATTATAAAGGTTATAAATCGAAATGTGTTTCTTGAAAATTGACAGTTTTTTACAGTGAAAGTAAAGAAAATGTTTTATGAGTTATAGTTTACTGCCGGCGAAATTTAAAGGTCAGTACAATGTTCATATAAACTTTTCAAATATTGCCGTTGAGAAACTATTTAATACTTTTGTATTTTTGTATTGAGATATTAAAATAACGATTGTATGACATTTGAGTGTCATTGAAACATAAAGGGCGTTTTAAAGGTGGGAGTAGAAAAAGTTATTAAAAAATAGTTATTTTTTGAAGAATTTTAAAAACTACTTGGCCGAATTTAATAAACTGTTTTGGTTTTTAGTAATAAAGAGCTTAATTTTATGTAATTAAATTTAATTTAGTTAATCGAGAGGCGGTGCTGGGCAACTCAATTAGATATTTAAAAATAAAATTTGGGTACTCCTATGATTTTTTGTAAATTTATTAATATTTTTAGATTAAGTAATTAAAAATACAACTTTTTACCCCCGGACAATTTATTATTTATTATTATTATTATTATTATTATTATTATTATTATTATTATTATTATTATTATTATTTAACACCCTGTATCTCGAAAACAAAGCTTTAAGGCATATATGTACAATAAAAATGACAAAAGTTACTTATTATTTTGTAACGCTTCATTTCATTAGACTGAGAGAAAGATTTTTTTTAAATGTCCTCATATAAAATATGAATTGGAGTCGTAATACATAAATTTAATTATAACATTATATAAAAGCGTAAAAGAAAAAAATTACCTTAAAACAATGTGATGAAATAGTAATAGTCGCATTTTCAAATGTGTTTAACAGTCTTAGAAGTTATGATTAACTGTGTTTATCTTGAACTAAATACAAATTATTTATATTTACATGTAAAGGTCAATTTATATTATTGCTGCGATAAACGATTTAATACCTTAATAATCATGCAAACCATACTTAATTTATAAATTATTAATATTATATATGTGGTTTTAATGTTCTTAAGTTGTTTAGACAACAAATTAATAATTTATACTAAATCCTAACAATATTAACTATTGATTATGGGTCATTCCATATCGAATTGTAGTTCAATTTTTTATCAAACATAATTTATAAAATAATCTTTTATTTGGATTTAAATAATTTTATGTAATTTCTGTTAAAAAATTTTTAATTTTATTATTGTATTATGTATGTACGGCAATGGATTCACCACAACTCAAAACGACCCTTTACTAAATTTTATTGAACAATTTTTAGTAGAAAAATGCACAATAATAACTATAAAAATTTATTTTGTGAAGTTATCCATGAAAAAACATTGAAATAAAATTAAACTAATAGTATAACATGGTACTATTACTATAAGTTTAATTTTATTTCAATGTTTTTTTATGGAAATGCACAATAAATTTTTGTAGTTATTATTGTGCATTTTTGTAATTAAAATTTTTCAATAAAATTTAGTCTAGGGTCGATTTGAGGGGTGGTGAATCCAGTGCCGTGCTTAGATTTTGTTTAAAAAAATCGCTAATATGAATTATTAAAAATTTACTCTAAAAAACTGACATAGTAGGCCTTGTATTTTTTAAAAATATGGCGTTTTTTGTTTTAAAAATACAGTTTAAAAATATCTAAACTTTAAAACAAATTCGGTTAAAATCGCATAATAAATACTAATTTTACAGGGGTGAGTCGCAAAAAAATGGGTCACACTGTATTAAGTTTTTAAATATTGGCGTTTAATAATTTAATACTTGTGTATTAAAATAATACAATAATTTTCACAATTACTATTATTTCACAATTTTAACGATTAAATTACATTTGGCAACTGTTAACTAACATAAAGCTAACTTCAGTCCGTGACTAAAAACCTGTTGCTAACTATAGCTTATCAATGTGTAATTAAATGATCACTTAGTGTCATGGAAGCATGTAAGATAATAGGCGTTTTAAAGGTGGGAGTAGAAAAATACATATACCTAGGGTTTGATAAAATTTTAAAGAATTTTTACAGGACATGTATAAAAAACTATACTATAATAAATTTTAACAGCAGTTTATATTTTAACATATAATGATTTATTCATTGTTTTAGTAATAAATGACCCATATATATTTATCAAGGTTAGTTAGATATAAGTAAATAAACAGGTCTGGCTAAATTAAAACTTGTTATAGTTGTTGTAGTTTTATAGTTGTTAATCATGTCACATTTAGTTAAAATTTGTCTTGGCGGTCAGGACTTGACCCTTAGTTTTTTGTAAACTGATAACCACAAGTGTAATGTAATTTTCCACGTTGTTGTTGAATAATTCTTGAAGCCTAAAAAAATCACTCTATACGTTATTTTTTTACTATACAATATGACTAATAATATGTTAAATTAAAATTTTTCTTCCTTTTAATATTTTACTTTGTTACTAAATAAACAAATGTTTTCATATCTATGAATTGTTTTCAAATATACCCAAAGATTTTCTAAATCATATACAAAATCTGTGAGAACTTTTTAAATGATTTAATATATTTAAACTAAATATATTAAAAGTTTTAATAAAACGGGTAGTTTAATGCGCCTTCTGAAAAATTTATTTTTACTGTTCTTTCAAATGAATAATTTATATAAGGGGGTACAAAATAAACTATAAAATATTTTCCAATTGTATAAGTTTTAATTATTTTGTTTATTTTATTTATTATAATTTGTAGGGATATTTTGACTTTAAATAATTAGTAACTAACTATTTTGTTTGTCAATTTAACTGTGTCATTAATATTAATTAAGTTTTGACAGCATCGTTCTATCTTTAGTTAATGCGTATGTCGAATTTCATAATCAAACCTTTAACATGATAAATCAATACAATTATGGCATTACAATGGATTTTTAATTTTTTTTTTAAATTATAATTATTTAATTTATTGTTTATTAAACCTTAATACTTTTTAATACTTGCAATTGTTATTACAAATTTGTCACAGATAGGATCTTTTTTCTATTGTTAATTTGGTTCATGCCAAAGGCCAATGTGATTGATAATGTATCCCCTGATTGGCTATTGTTCACACTAATAGCAAAGCCCCTTAGATCCTTTTCAAGATAATTGCCTTACTTATAAATGAGCAAAAAAGAAATTGGATGATTAAAACATCTTTTAATCTAAAAGAAAAAAGTTTGCCATTCGAGGTTTAGATATGGATTTAATTTTTTTTAATAAGGGACGGTAAATTTACAGAATCGTATGAATATTGAATGTATCGAAAAAATAACACGACCAAATTAATTAGGTATGTGAAGCATTCCTTACATAATTAATTTGGCCATATTAATATTTACGAACGTCATAACGTTTTGGAATTTGGTTTCAGTATTGAATGAAATAGGAATTAATATTGCCATGAAAATTAATGGGCCATTTCTGCAGATATTTTTTGTTTGATAAAATTTAATATTTTTTTTCCTTAAATTAAAATTAATTAACAATTCATTCATAAATAATTTATATATTGGTCGAGAAAATATTATTAACCCCGGCGCATTCGCCATTTGTTGAAATTATTTATATTGACACTTAAAATCAGATATATTGATCCAAATTAATGGTAAATGGTGAAAAGCAAAGTTTTATTAACATTTTAATATAGATATTAATGCATTAAGTTTCAAAAAGATATCGATTTTCCAACTTATTGCATTCAAGATTACTTTACAGCGTTTTTTGACATATATTATTTTCAATTTACCATAACTAAATACAAAATTTGTTTTTTTATTTTTAAACACTTGTGCTTAAAAGTGTGACTATCAAAAAGTTACGGTTATAAAGCGCTGTAACAAAAAAGGTTTTTTACTAGATACGTATTTAAAAACTTTAAGGTATATTTAAGGGAGACGAGTTACGTTTAAACATATCATCGGTGAACCAATATAAAATTATTAAATACTATAGGTATAATTTAAGTATTACTTGGTTCATAGAAAAATGGTAAGGTATAATAACAGGCCACTTAAAACTTAATAAATTATTTATGAGTCTTGATTACAAATAGAATTTCTTAAAAAAAACTTATTGTATAGTACCGTCTTGATATATTATTAATACAAAGTATGTACTTTTCTAAAGCAAGTCTAGTTATTTTAAATGATTTTATAATGGTTTAATTGTAAGAAAAACATGTTGTTTGTAAAGGTAAATAATTAATTTTTAAGTGGAAGAATTTATGTACCTAGTAATTAAGTTTTAACCAATATTCAAATATTCAAATATTTAAACACTGAACAAGAAACATTTGTTTTTGGCTTTTATAAAAATAACTTTAAAAGTTTGTTTTACTCAGTTTTAAACAATATTTCTGGCAAATATTACCCTGGTTGTTTATAAACTGATGCAACACCTTTCTAAAAATCGTGCAGAATAGCCGCCGTATCAGTATATAGATAAGGGTGACATTCACAATATCGAAATTCATTATATCGAATTCAAAATATCGAACACTTTTTATCGAAAATCAAAATATCGAAAATACAAAATGTCGAAAATCATAATATCGAAAATTAAAATGTCGATTTGAAAATGTCGAAATTTTATTTAATCGAATTTTCAAATTATCGAAAATAAAATCTCGACCGCTGTCATACAGGTTATGACGAATAGCTGTCATCTTGGTTATGCAGGTACACTGCATTGTGCCATACCAAACCAACCCAAACCTAACAACCCAACCCAACCGACCCCGCCCCATTGGGCCCCTCCCACCCCATTGAGCAATAGAGGTATAATATATCTAAGGGCAGGCTGGATTGTGACAATGGGGCGGGAGGGGCCCAATGGGGCGGGGTCGGTTGGGTTGGGTTGTTAAGTTTGGGTTAGTTTGGTATGGCCCAATGCAGTGTACCTGCATAACCAAAATGACAGCTATTCGTCATAACCTTAAGGAATACTTTGCTACATTTAGCCTCTAGTTGAAAATGAGGTTAAAATATGCGACGGTTGAGCACACACATTTCTACGTCCGTCCGACGGTCGGGGAGACACTACCTTTAATTATTCGATATTTTTAAATCGACATTTTAATTTTCGATATTATCATTTTCGACATTTTGAATTTTCGATATTTTGATCTTCGGCATTTTGTATTTTCGATATTTTGATTTTCGATAAACAGTGTTCGATATTTTGAATTCGATATAATGAATTTCGATATTGTGAATGTCACCCATAGATAACAAGGGTAAAATAAACTGTCAAGTTTCTTACTGTCAAGTTTTGTATTGTCAAGTTTCTTACTTTATATCTTTCAAAGTTAAAGATAACTCACTATTCCAACCTGTATACTATACCTTTATCTGCCGGGTATTCAAGGAATAATACATTGTCCAGTGGACCATATAATACGCGGTTAACACTAAAAATACTGTTGGACAAGTGTGTCAAGTGTTCCGGATAATACACTGTCACTACTAAGCAAACATCTTTTAAAAATACAGTTGGACAAGTATGATGCGCCGTAACACAATTTTGATTATGCCGACCGTCGGCAGCCGACGGCATGTATCGGGGACTTTAATGCCACATCACACTTGTCTAACTGTAACACCACATTCCATCATTCACGTACACCTTAATAAAATATTTGGCAAATATCCTGAGTATGTCCAAGTTTATACAGATGCTTCTTAATCGAATCAAGGAGTGGGAGCTGCATTTGTCACGGCTGCTACTGAACAAACCTTTATCATGTCCAAACTACGTGTATATTTACAGAGAAATGTATGCTATATGAAAAGCATTAAAACATATAAAAGAA